TCATTTCCTCTTTTTTTTTGGCTGTTTTCTAGGAGAAAAAGAGGTGATCATCCTTGGAGATTTTAACCAGTCCCCGGACAGCAGCGACCACGACATCCTGAGGAAGGAGAAATTCCATCACCTGGTCCCTTCCAGCACCTTCACCAACATCAGCACAAAGAACCCCCAAGGGTCCAAGTCTCTGGATAACATCTGGATCAGCAGGAGCTTGAAGAAGGTTTTCACAGGTAGTAGAGCTGCTTTTTTAGGGAGGTCGTGTGACCTTCAGTTGGGTCGCAGGAGCGTGCCAACGCCCGGCTGATATTTCCCCTCTTTCTCATGCAGGCCACTGGGCCGTCGTGAGAGAAGGTCTCACAAACCCCTGGATCCCTGATAACTGGTCGTGGGGTGGGGTGGCTTCGGACCACTGCCCCATCCTGGCTGAGTTTTACCTGGAGAAGGACTGGCACAGGAAGGAGGTGACCCGGAACGGGGTGACGGTGGAACGCGGCGACGCCCACGCCAAGCACGAGCGATGACCTGAGCTTGGGGGTGCTCCTGCTGCTCCCCAGGAGAAGCCCAGGGCTCTGCTGGCTCCTGGCTCGGTGGCAGAGCAAGGCTGCTTCCCCCTCTCCCTCCTCCCAGGAACCTCCACTTGATTTGGGTGGCCCTCCTGGATGGTTGTGGGGTGTCTCACGGCGAAGGAGAGAGCAGCAGGGTTTTTTTTCTGGGGACACTGGACGTTTTCCACGCCTGGAGATTTGGAGGAGAGTTGTACAGAAAATAAAATGTACTTTTAATACTGTACAGGGTCTTTGCTGAAGTGCAGCTGAGCAGGACTTTGCTGTGGGGGCTAAGGGGGGACTGGTGGTGGTTTTCCCTTTACCTCCACGGGAACTGAGGGAATAGGAGAGGACCTGAAACTAGAGACAGTGTGGGAGTTCTTGGCAAGTCACAAATCCATTCAGCAGTTGCAAAAGCTGCTGGAGCTGCTCCCTCCATGACCTGAAATGAGGCCTGAGTGGTCCAGCCTGGAGAGGAGTTCCTCCACAGGTCCATGTGGATGTGGGCACCTCTCACCCTTCCCATCCCTTCCCTGGCATGCAGCATTCAGTGCTGGGTTTTGTTCCTGTGCAACAGACTTCAGGAGCTGGGAAACCACCAGCTTGTCCCTCTGCAGAACCTGGTCCACTTCTCCAGTGCCCTGGGCTTTGCTCCCTGTTGGGGATCTCACAGAACCATGGAATGGTTTGGGTGGAAGGGACCTTTCAAGGCCACCCAGTCCAACCCCCCTGCAGGGACAGGGACATCTGCAGCTAGAGCAGGGTGCTCAGAGCCCCATCCAACCTCCCCTGGGATGGTTCCAGGGATGGGGCAGGGACCTCCTCTCTGGGCAACCTGGGCCAGGGGCTCACCACCCTCAGTGTGAAAAATTTCTTCCTTCTCTCTAGTCTAAATCTCCCTCTTTTAGTTTAAAACCACCCCCCCTTGTCCTGTCACAACAGGCGCTGCTCAAAAATCTGTCCCCAGCTTTCTGACGAGCCCCTTTAGGAACTGAAAACCCCAGAAGGGAAATCTGCAAAGACTGGAAGGAGCAATTCAGCATCTTGGGTGTGAAAGGTGCTGTCCACAAGCCCAGCACCTCCTGCTCCAGGCTGCAGATGAGCACCCGTGTTGCTGCTGAGTGGAGAAGAAAGCTCTGGCACAACTCACTGGGCCAGAGAGGGAAAACCAGAGATGTTGTAAGTGAGGGCTTTAGAGCAAAGAGAGTCTCTTACCCTTGTGGCATTGTCCTTCCCTCAACTTTCTGAAATATCCTCTCATTCCAGGCAGCAACAACCAAACAAATTCACACCCAAACACAGACAGCTGAGTATTTCAAGCAGCTTTTCTGACCCTACACACAAGGTGAGAGACTCTGGGTGTGACTCTCAGACTGAAGGGAGGTTCCACTGATGTTTCTAGAGGCTGCCTGAAGGACTCAGAGTTCAGAGCATCAGACCAAAGATCTTCACCTGCTCAGCACTCCCTGTTGCCAAGGGGAGGTGCAGGCACTGGTCCTTGTAGAAGCCAGCAGGAGAGCTGCCCACATCCCATTCAATCTGCTGCAGGTGTAAGTGCTGAGCCACCAAAGCCTTGGAGAAGCAGCTGAGTGGGTGGGTGGTGGTCTCACAACTGCAGGAGAGGCCCTTCCTTGGGCTGCTGGGAGGGGGAAATGAGCTGAGCTACCCTCATAACCCCTGTGAGAGCTGTAGGGCAGGTTCTTCAGGCTGGTTGGTCACCCAGAGGTTGCTCAGTCTGCTGGGAGGAAGTGGGGAGCTCTGGAAAGGTGATCAAATAACCACCAACTGGTGAACAGAAGCAGGTCTTGGAGTCAGAGGGGTCCTACAGGGCAGGAGGGAAGAGGATGGAGTGGTCTGACACCTACCAGTGGAGCATCAGTAGAAGGTATGTGCCTGGTTACTTCGTGCTGGGACTCAGCAGAGCTGCTTCCCTCAGGGCAAAGCCTCTGCTCTGTCCTGTGGGCTTTTGGTGAGGAATTATTTGCCAAACATCCATTTGGTCCCTTGGCTTTGCAGTGTGGTTGCACCAAGCAGTGCTGCAAACAGCCTGGAAAAGAGGAGTTGTGCTACAGGAGGTGCAAAACAAAACCCCTGAGGAGCAGACACAACTAAATGTCCTAGAAACAAACTCCCAAAACCAAGGTCTTGGCAGCAGTGGGTTGAGTGAGTCCTGGGGCAGCAAGAGTGGAAGCCTGACCACATGAGGAACCAGCCTTGGTCGTGGCAGTCTTCAGCCCTTGTGGGAACTGCTGCCCAGCATTCCTAGAGAGGGACAGGGAAAGGTCAGCCCAGGGGTTTCTTCTGTCTTCTGAGAACAATTTTTGGGGTTGAAACTGGTGTTTTAAAGGAGCACGCTGGCCACGGGCAGGAGATGGGAAACACAACTCCTGGGGCAGCTGCTGCTGTGCCCTGGGGGCACTTCAGGTTGTCAAGTCCCTGAGAAGCTGGGTGGAAATGTCCCCCCTTGAGGTCCTGAGCTTCTCCTTAGCTGCAGGCCACTCCTGGCCTTGGGCTCACTGCATTTCCCACCTCCACACAGAATTCCTACACAGCAAAAGCTTCTCTGGAGGTCTGAGAGCTCTGGCTGCCCCACTCGGCTCCTCTGGGCTGTGTCCCACCTCCTGCAGAGCACAGCTGCAGGTGGGGCCCTCAGGTGCCTCCCCAGCCTCTGCTGCTCCTGCCTCCTCTGCTCCTTGGGCTGGATTTGGTTTCATTTCCTTCCTGCCCTTCACACACTTTAGAATCAGTTTGGTTGGAAGAGACCTTTAAGATCATCAGGTCCAACCAT